AGACGAAATATGAATCAGAGTGCGACGGAATGAGAAAATAAAGAATAAATAGAAAACGTTTACCAACCAGTTTCACATTTATTAAAGCTTCGTCAGAAACTGAGAAATAGGGAAAAAGGTATCAGAATTTTTTTTTTAATTATTTTTTTTAAGCGTTTCACCCCAAGCAAGACGAGAAGCCACTAGAACGCGAGTGGTTACAGAAGATTTGGAGCAAGAACAGATAGGAGTGATAGAGGAAAGGATGAGGAGAAGGATAGTGGATAGATCAAGGCAACTGGAGATGTCGATTGACATTACATTTGAATAGCTGGAGATTATAGCTCTCAGGGAAACTGGGATAGGGAAGGGAGTTCCACTGGCGAGAGGGGCGAGACATGAAGCTATTGGAGTAGAAGAGACGGCTACATTTAGGAGTTTCGACAGTGAAAGGGTGAGAGCGGGATGCCAGCCTCGTAGGGCGCTTGAACTCATGAAGTCTGGGAACCAGCGAATGCAGCTCCTCGGAGCAATTACCATGGAAGTATTTGTAAAAAAAAAGACAGAGAGAGGCGACGGCGCGTCTGTGAGAGAGTGACTGTAGACGAGATGCCAGAACAGGGCCAATTATATTGCATATCCGCCTCTGGAGCCTATCAAGAACACCGAGGCAATCAGAAGGGGCTCCAGACCATATATGGCAGCAATACTCCATGCAAGGGCGAATTGTTGATTTGTAGATCTGGAGAATCGATTCCCGGGAGAAAAATTTCCTGGCGCGGCACAGAGAGCCATCTTTCCTTGCGGTGGACGAAGCAATTGACTCAATGTATTTGTTCCATCTCAGGTCAGCAGTCAACGTGAGACCGAGCAGCCGCAGGGAGGTGCTCTCGTGGAGTTGAGCGTTAGACATTCTAATAGAGGGCAGGGAAGGATCTCTGTGGTGTTTCATCTTTTTCATATATTAGTATTAGTTCGATAAACATTTTCGATGAGTTCTTTATTCTATCATACATACAAACTTATATAAAAGAGATTTTCTGATTTTGCATATTAACTTCAGACTACAGTTTTTTTGTAAGAAATTAATTAATTTTGAAACTTCCTATAAATTATCTGAAGGATTGTTTGACGTGTAAATTATTTTTTAAACATTTGACAGCAAATTCGAGTTATTGAAGTTTATCTATGTGATCTGCATAATAACTTCAGACGATATATATATATATATATATATATATATATATATATATATATATATATATATATGCGTTTCTGGGTGCGTGTGTATATATATATATATATATATACTGAATATCAATTGATCTATACCTGTATATATATGTATGTGTGTGGGTGTGTGTGTGTGTGTGCGTGTGTGTGTCACACATTATGAAATGAACAAAGTACGACAATTATTTTAAGACATTTTTTTATGTTTATACGTTCTTTTTATAGATACAAATATTTAAATAAATGGTCTGTTTATAATAAACAGTATTAACGACATTTGCCAGCCTGAATGTCCGAGAAATTTTCATCGAAAATATGCGTCCACCGACAGGAATCGAACCTGTATCCTATAAGGAACCGTCATATAGCCTGACGTGCTTTACCGATTTAGCTACAGAGGAACGTTTCAGTTAGAAAGGTCTATTTTACTGTTTTTAAACTACAATTCTCTATGATTTTCTCTCGTATATTCATATCTGCTCGATGCGTATCCAAATGTAAACATATATATATATATATATATATATATATATATATATATATATATATATACCCTGTCTGAAGTTATTAAGCCAATCATTTAAACATAAATAATTTAAATTTGATAAAAAAATGGCAAATTTTAAACAATCAATTCAGATGTCAAAAGAAAGCCTGGATTAAAACTTTCGGTAGTATCAATATGTTTATTGAAATTATTGAAGTTATTTGATGTCTTCTATAAACTGCTGTCAAGTTATTAAGCAAAACCAAATAATCATATCTTACTTCAATAATCAGGCAATAAAATCATCAAAAATTGTTAAATAATAAACACGTGATAAGTCTTTGAAACTTTATATTTTAATATAGTGACCTTTCTTCTAAATAACACCCATATATCTATTATCCATCGATTTTGTAATTTTTTTTTTACTTCAGCAGGTTCAATTTAATTGCTTCTCATAGATCTGCTTTGCTGTTATATTGTTTGCCACCTTCATATAATTTCATCTTCACAATTGACTATAGATTTTCGATCGCATTCAGATCAGGACTTGATGATGCTCCTACCATTATCCTCTCTTCTGTAGCAATCTTTTATGCTCAAAGAATTCATGAGTAAGCTGAGATACATGTGAAAGAGCATTGCCGTGAGTAAGTTTCATTTTGAAACTGCGAGACTTGGATCTGTAGCATGCAAACAAATTCTTGTTCATAAAATCGCAATAATTAGCACTGTTCAGTTCAATATTTCATCAACTCTGAATGGTCCAATAATGGCTTGGTCGAAAATTCCAGCCCATAATCATAACATAATCATTGCCTCCTTGTTGATTACTTGTAGGCACCACTGAATTGGATGAAATCCATCCTTTGGCCCAGCCATCAGATCTATCACGTGACACTCGAGATTCGTTTGAGAATATTACTTTAGAAAAGTAAATTTTCATGTATTTCTTGGCCAGTTTGACGATTTAAAATATTTGTTATATTGAGAAGCGATTGCCTAGGAGAGTTTTTTCTTACAGATCCCAATTCACAAAGTATTCTACATATTTTGTCCATCTTGGTTCCCTCAATTCCAGATTTTCAAATATCTGAACGCTGGTCAAAATGGTTGTTTCGCTATAACTCGCATTCGTCTCGAGGAAGCAAGTTCTTAAAGCCTTTTTCTTTGCTTTAATTTCTCAATTTACTTATATTTTCAAGTGCCTTCTTTATCGTCCGATGATCTTAGCAAGGCTCCAGTGTGGACATTCCCTCACTCAGTAACCTTGTTATTTTCTGTTTTTCAGAAGGTGATATTTCCTTCCCTTTACCCATGTTTCAACATATATTACGGACAAAAAGAAAAAAAATAGTTTTTATTAAATTTCAGAAGTGTTAAGCTAATATTACTTTAATTTGCATATTAACTTCAGTCAGTCAACTTTCGTAAATTCCAAATATCTCAAAGACTAATCATTAAAAATGGCAGATAATTTAATTAAATGTTTTGCTGAGTGTGGAAATGGACGAGTTTAAATTTGACAAATATTGGTTCAGAATCTTTTGAGTTATTGAGGTTTATTTGATTTGCATAATAATTTCAGAAAGCCTATGTATATATATATATATATATATATATATATATATATATATATATATATATATATATATATATATATGAAGATATATACTATTAAGGTGTGCTATATTTATCGGATAAAGTGGTCAATATCAGAGATAGAACGTATGTAAATATAAAAGTGAACATTGAAGTCAACACTTCAGGCTGTTTCATGCTAGATGTTGCAATCGTCAGGCCACCGATATATATATATATATATATATATATATATATATATATAAATATATATATATATATTTATAAAAGAACAGTAGGTTTATAATCCGCTTCTTATTATTTTTTATTTTAAAAAAAAAACAGTGTTCGATACAAACAGTAGACAAAATATTATAATTATTTTCTTTTTAAAACTATAAATCCATCGCGACACAGAAAATTTCCATGTTTCAAAAACTAAATTTGTAAATTTAATTATAAAAATTAAACTTAAAATCCATAGTCACGTTCCATTGTCAAGCGATGTTAGGAATAAACTTTCAAGGAAATTTACTTAATTTATAAGCGCAGACAATATTGATATTATGAGTTGTTACGGTTAAAGAAAATCGATTTTAATTTAGGCGTAGCTGGGTTTTAATTTCCCTAGACACCTTATGTATCCAATATATGTTACTTACAAAGTCAGATTAAGTTCAGGTGGGGTGGGAGTGTCTGCTAACGAATGTATACTTTTGTTATTCAGTCATCTGGGTTTTCAATGATAAAATAAATTAGGCATTTTTATTCATCCGCGTAATTCATATTTTTATGCACAAAGATTTTCTAAAACGGTTATTTAAATATATGCAAGGCATATTATTAAAACTTAAATTTTATTAATTAAATTTTATTTTTAAAGATTTTTAGTACTATTCGACCTTCTAATAACTAATTGACTATACGGTATTTTTACCAATAGATATATTAGTGTGTGTGTATATGTGTGTGTGTGTGTGTGTGTGTGTGTGTGTGTGTGTGAATGTATTTCCTAAAAATCATTGTGGATTGTTATTTATTTATTTATTCGATAGATATTTATCACTTTCAACGTTATTTTCAGTGGATACCCATATTTAATTAGATTTCCCTTTTATTTTAAACAGTATATCTATTTTCGATCGTTGACGTGAATATTCGAGAAATTTTATTAAAGAGTGTGAATTTTTGATAAAATTTCTCTGTAATCGAATGGGTATTGAATATTTACTTTCCCTAATGCATTTGTCGGGTCGACGGCACACGTTTGCCAGCTAAAGACATTTCGTCTAATCGAATAAAAACTCCGATTTTAGGCAGGAGGTCTTACTTAATCATAGAAAGTCTCCAGGAAAACTTAGGATAAAATTTTGCGACGCTGACCGAAATTTTGCCTCATCCTGCGAACTTCCTTGATGATACCAGTATCAAGCATTATCAGCCACTGTCTCCCCCGACCCTGGATTAGTGAAATACACAGTGGAGACTCGCGAGATAGGTAATGGTTGACGCTCTATAAATAAAATAAAAAAATCCTTCTCAAATAAGCAACCAAGAGATGAATCGCCTGCTTTCCTCAATTGCTATAACAGATGTATCTCTCCATCATCTTCTTGTTATATGTGCCGCGTCAATTCAGGACGTGGGCCATCTTGGCTTTTCACATTTTCCACTCTTTTGTAGCTTTTAGTAAGTTTTGCCTTTCCACAAGTCTTACAACAATATCACGTTTCCATACAGGTTCTCGTACGATCACTGAAGTTAAGCAATGTCGGTTCTGGTCAGTACCTAGATGGGTGAACGCTTGGGAGTACCAGGTTCAGTAAGCTTGCGGGTGATACAGTGAATGACGGCTGAGAATTGGAAATCGGAGAGCCGAGTTCCAGTCGGGGTCATTATATTCACTTTCGCGCAAGTAACCTTAGGAAAGATATGAAGCCATCTCTTCTCGCCTTAATTATGCGTTAATCAGTGGTACTTGTATCAGTAAATCATTCTTCTTCTTTTATGTGTCGTGTCCTTTTAGGGCGTAAGCGATCATGACCCGCCATATCTTCCTGTCCCTTCTAGCTCTTAATAAGTTTTGTCTTTTTGTTATTTCTCTCAGACCATGTTCCGTCATCAATTTGTTACTATGTCACGCGTTGCTTTCCCCCTGTCGATCTTTCCCTTTATCCGACCCGTGAGTATCAGATTTTCTAAGCCCTCCTTCCTCATTACGTATCCCAGAAATTTCACTGCTTCTTCCTGATATAGTTAGTTCTTTGTTTCCATTCTCTCCAAAACCTCTGTCTTTAATCAACTCGCAAAAGTTTGCCAAGCCGTTAACAAAATCAATAAATCAATGCCGACCCATACTTCCTGTTCTATCACCGAATATTTTTTTTAATCATTACACACCAAGCAAGGTGATAATGCCACTAATACCCACCTGGTTACAGAGTGTGAAAGTGTGAGAAAAGATTGTGTATAGGGGTACTGAAGAAAGGATAAAAGATGAACGGGGTTCAAGACGACAGAAGATGGCGATTGACGTTGCATTTTAATTTTTGAACATTGTAATTATCAAGGAAGCAAGATAAAAGGAAGGAAGTTCCACTGTCGGGAAGTGCGAGGAAAGACATTGTTGGAGTAGAGGTGGCGGTTACATTTAATTACTTCAACAATAAAAGGTTAGGACCTAAATTTCATTCACGCTTAAATTCATGCAGTCAGGGCACCGTGGGGTGGGGGTCATCAGAGCAGTTTCCATGAAGATATTTGTAGAAAAGACAGAAGGAAGCCACATCGCGTCTGTGAGAAAGGGAAAGGGAAAGGAAGATTACATTGCATATCATTCTTTGGATTTTGTCAAGTACCTCGAGAAGAATAGGACCGGATATTCCAAACACTATTCAATCAACGGCTGAATGATAGATACAAGGCACAAGCTTGTTATGTAGGTTATTGTCCAATTCTAATTCTTATTAAGTAAAGTCCTTTCCTCAGCCTTCCCAATTCCTGTTTTGTCCTCTGCTTACACACGCTCTTTACGTAAGTTGTTCACTGTTCTCCTCTGTAGCTTTAACCTTCAGAGAAATCAAAGCTAATCGGCCGGATATTGTAATGAAAGACGACAAAAAGAGAATGTGCTTTTATTATTTACATGGGTGTTTCTGCAGACCGTAATATATTTTTGAAAATCTTTAAAAAAACTATGAGAATAAAAATATGTTGAAGTGGAAATCTCAAAATATGGCACATGAAGACATCAAAAATTCCAGTTGGGACTGGGGACCTGGGTTTTATTGGAAAAGCATTGCTAGACTAATTGAATAAATGCAAAAGTTTTCTGACAGCTCACACCTTACACGGACTTTATGTAAAATGTGTTTGTTTTTGGGTTGATTTCTCTTTTGGAAAATATTCAGTGGAAAAATTGTGATGCCATTTCTGACCTTAGGTCCCTGCTTAGGAAATGGAAGGAAATAAGCATAAAATAGAAATCAAAGGAAATAATAATAACAAATGTATAATAATAATAATAATAATAATAATAGTAATAATAATAATAATAATAATAATCTCTATCTATAAAAGGCAGGGTGTGTGTGTGTGTGTGTAACGAATGCACGGCCGCAATTTTCGACCAAAATTTACATGCACATGCTCCAAGTTAGCGGAAAAGCCAAAACCGACCTTGCATTTCCCAACACCCATCGATAGCGGAAATAATCGATTTTCTCATACTTCTTTCTCGTTATGTGTCACAGAAATGTCACATTGTCTCTTTTTAGTATAATCCTTTTTTCTTTTTCTTTTTTTTTTTTTTGGTTTTATCATTTTCGTTGAAGTTTCCTCGTTACTCTCGTGTTGAGTAGACGCTATTTTTGAAAAAAAAAAGGCTAATCCAGGATCGTAAGATATCGATGGACGTCCTTCGAATATAACGCAATAATAACTTCCGCCGGAGAAATTAAACAGACGTTGTAAACTGTTTCACTCGCTTTATTCAATTGGAAGCGTGGACATTACACATTCCAAATATTCTACTCCAAACAGTGGACAAAGGTTTCTGAATTCAAATCTTATGAAGGCTTATATCAACCAGATTTTAACGACTTATCGCACGAAACTTAAAGAACTGTGCTTCGAAAGCAAGGCAAAAGGAACACGCTACAGACACGGTTGCTTCTAGAATGAGTACTTATTATTTCCGATGGCTTTTTATCTGCTTCCATCGCATCACGCTGTCATTTACTCATGTCACTGCCTAGAATATCCGCATCGTGTTACGCTTCGTGTCTCTGGATTTAATTCTTCAGAACGTCACCCATCCTGATGGACTTTATCAAAGGCGGACATTTTTGTCAATAACGCTTTAACGCCTACAGAAGATAGTGAAGGAGAACGAGAGGAAAGGACTAAACATCAACTGCAAGAAAACAGAATACATGGATATTGGAAAAACGGTGAGCCCAAAATGCAAATTACAAATCAGAGATACCAAAATCAAACGAGCAGAAAATTTTAAATATCTGGGAAGTGTTTTATCAGAGAACGGCGACTGTGACACTGAAATCTGTAGACGCATTGGGATGGCCAAAGATGCTTTCAAAAATCTAAGCAGAGTAGTGATTTTCCAAGCGTAGCTCAGATGTGGCACGAGGCCAAAAGTATGGGGCACCCAGTGAGGATCGAACTCACTACTCAGTCATAATTGTGCTAGCAAGACAAGCTTGCTAACCATTACGCCGCCTCAAGGTGCCCAAATCTAAGCAGAGTATATAGAAACAGAAAATCTTCGTCAGAAACAAAGAAAAGAGTACTGAACTTTTACGGGATATCTCTCCTCCTTTATGGCAGTGAATGCTGGAAAATCTCCTCAAAGATGAAGAAGCGACTTGAAGAAACATAAATGTAGTTCTACAGATGGATGCTGAGGATACCATGGATCGAATATGAGAGTAACGAGGGAGTTTTAGAGACATGACACTTAGATTTAACATCAGACTATCGAAATTTCATGGGCACATAAAGAGGGGAGTAGGTTTGAAGAATTTAATATCCACTGAATAAATTGAAGGCAAGGAGCGGGGCAGAGGAAACCACGCATAACATACTTAGTGAACTTCAGTAATTGGATGGCGGAACAATGATTAGAAAAATTGCAAAACAACGAAATTTATTTAGAGCTGCAGATGAAAGGGATTTGTGGAGAGCCATGATCACCTATGTCCTCAGTGGACACGATAGATAAAGGATAATAACTACGAGACTGTAGTTTTAACATCCTTTCTAGGAGAAATCGAGAGTGGGAGGGTGATGATCGACAGAACTCATACCAAGGCTGTTATGGGGCCTTACCCATAATAACATAATGGACTATTCCATACGTAATAAATACTGCGCCTCAAGAGGAAGAAGGGAGTTCAGCCCGAAGTCGGGCGACCGGCTGATCGGCTGATCGGTTGAACTCTCTGCCTTCGGGCGGGGAGGAACCCGAACGAGCCATGCCGAAGGGCGGGGTCTCTTTCGCGGAGGTAAACCGACCCTGAACCCGTTTATACGGGTTCAAAGTGCATATTTTTGGCCGAGCCCACGGACTCGGAGATCCCACGTTAAACCGGCCTTGTGCCACATGATGCCCTCGTGGGGGTGGTGACTATATACCTTTCAGTCTGAAGTAATACGACTGGCTGACCGGCTGATCGGTTGAACTCTCTGCCTTCGGGCGGGGAGGAACCTGAACGAGGCTACGCCGAAGGGCGGTGTCTCTCTCGGGGAGGTAAACCAATCCCGAACCCGTTTATACGGGTTCAAAGGGCATATTTTTGTCCGAGCCCACGTTAAACCGGCCTTGTACCACATGATTCCTTCGTGAGAGGGTGACTAAGTACTGTTCCGTCTGAAGTCGAGAGTTCCGTCTGAAGTCTGGAGTTCAGTCTGAAGTCTGGGGTGAGGTCCGTCAGGATTCTGTCAGTCAGTCAGAGCGAGTCAGTCAGTCGAGTCAGAGGCAGTTCAAACCTGATTGTTCGTACTAACACTTTTCTACCTCTCTGTATATATTCCTGTCTGTAATATACCTGTGTTATTCCATATCCGTATTCGAGTTCTTCTTTATTGGCTCTACCTTGGACTATCACCGTGGTACAAGGAACCGGACCATAACAAAGGCCTACTCTAGAATTTCATCACCGCAGTCTGATTGTGAAATGCATGTTGTCTGAGTTTTGTCCCACTTTTTGGTTTTATATCAAAATCTTAAACAAAGGCAATTCAACGCTTTCAGAAATCAAGCCCACGGTGTCTTCCGACAGGTAAGTAGCCATTATGGGTCAGCCTTCGAATTATGTAACAATTGCCTTAATTAAACCATGTGTGACGCCGACAGATTTTGAACACGTCATCCTGAGCTGTTACTACTGAAAAACTCCGTTGATGAATAGTTGATATGTACAATACATAATATTGTTAATTTGAAGATAAATTTTAAAATAAGCTGGTTGATGCAGCTACAAATTTACACGGAAAATGTGAAAATAATTGTTCACTTTTAATTGATAAAATGATTTAGAATAAAAAAATAAATTCGATGTTGTTTTTTGTTTTTTTTTAAATTTGTTTCCCTTTCTATTTTTTGTAGGTTGCACACCTCTACATTATGCAGTTCGCGCCGGCAACCCTGACATTACACAGGTGCTTACAAACTATTTCACCCACTATGGTTTAACACTGAACACGATAAACAAGGATGGTAAGAGCCCTTTGCAAGAAGCCTACCAGCTCGGGCACTCGGTTTGTGCGAAGATCCTTCAAGACGCCACCTCAAGCAAGAATATCACATCTGAGACAGAAGGCAGTACATCTGAGCATGATCAAAGATTACATGACCACAAAAGTACGACTGCAGAAGAAATAGAGGTGTCTGATCTAGAGATCTCTGATCAACCTCCTTTAACTTCAGACGAAATAACACCACGCGCTGTGACTCCAAGGGTGGAAGCAACAACAGTTAATTCACTTAATTTCTTAACAACAACTCCCACAGGATCGGCATCTTCTTCGCAGCCACCCTCTCCCAAAATTACTGAAGCAGCGACAGGAACATCAATGGCTGCAGTCGTTTCATTGTCGAAGTCAATCAACAAGAATTGCCTAACTACACCACCGAAAACTGTCACTGCACCATATTCTTCAAAAGAAGGTAAACCAGATATTGGTCGGTGGGCTACCAAATGTTGTTCTCTCCCGGTATCGGGGTCTTCGTCGACATCACTATCGGCGCTGCCTTTCCAAACGAGTAGCGCTCCGAGACCTCGCCAATTTACTGCTTGCGACGAACCTGAAACACAACTCCGAAGCCCCAGCGTTGAGAAAAAGGAAGCGCTGCGAAAAATGCTCACACGACGGAGCGCGTATGTCCTTAACCAGATGAGCAAGCCCAACGAATGGAACGTTACTCAGTTGATAGTGCCAAGCGAGAACGACTACCGAAATGATCCCGCCTATATGATAAGCGTCACCCATTTTGCGCGGGAAATGAATGGTATGGAGAAGAAATCTAATTGCCAGAAGCCAGCAAGTTTGGTTCTGTCGGTCTCTGACAAGAAAGCGAAAACACAAGAACAACTGCGACGCAGCTGGAGAAACGACATCAAAAAGCTTTTCGACCATTACGAGTATCATTGTTCTTTCTCCTATCGACGTCCTGCTCGTGTCCAGGAAGATTTAAACCCTGTTGATCAGTCCGGAGAAAAGGATAACGAGACAAGTCACGGAGGAAGTGGTACGGGAAGCAGCAATGTCAACGCTTCGCTGGACAGGGTCACCCGTCGACATCGTCGCTCAAGCAATTTTTCGCGATCATCGGGCCTAACCGACCCTCCAACTCAGAGAAAGATCAGGTCACGTAGGTCGTCTATCCTGTCGCAACAAAGTTCGGGCATCGTGGCTGGAGTTGTGCGGACTGGGAATGCGCCAAAGGAGTATGCGAGGACAATCAGCACGGATTCAACCCGAAGCAGTGTCTCCTCCCAGAAACCAAGTCATGTTTAAAAGACACTCAGAAAAAGGTTTTCACCTCAAGAAAGAAATTTTTGAACAGATTAAATATTAAAAAGTAACTGAAATAGTTTCATGAAAAAGAAAAAAAAAACTCTAGAAATATGTAGTTAATTTTGAGAACTATAGACATATATTTATATTCACGCAGGATAGATAGATAGACAGGAACAGACTAAGATAGATAGATAGATAGATAGATAGATAGATAGATAGATAGATAGATAGATAGATAGATCAGAACAATCTGAGATAGATGAAAGAAGACTGATAGGTAGCTACCTGGCTAAATAGACAAAATGAAACAGACAGTCAGACAGAGAGACAGACAGTGATAGATAGATAGATAGATAGATAGATAGATAGATAGATAGATAGATAGATAGATAGATAGACCCTGACATAGATAGATAGATAGATAGATAGATAGATAAGAACAGACACAAACAGATAAGAACAGACATAGATAGATAGATAGATAGATAGATAGATAGATAGATAGATAGATAGATAGATCAGAACAGTCTAAGATAGATGAGTGCAGACTAATAGGTAGCTACCGACCTAGATAGATAAGATGAAACAGACAGTCAGATAGATAGATAGATAGATAGATAGATAGATAGATAGATAGATAGATGAGAGTAAACTAATAGCGAGCTAGCTACCTAGCTAAATAGATGAGATAGATAGATGGATAGATATATAGATAGATAGATAGATTTCTTAATTTCTTATTTATATAAGGGTTACTTTTAGTGAGTAAACATATTTGAGTTGATATCCAAGCTTTGTACATTCATAAACAGTGACATTAATATAAACCGGCCTAGATCAAGATGGTTGATTAAAGAAAAAAAAGAAGCATTTTTCGTTAATCCAGGCCTGTTAGATTTAAATAAAAATATATAGGTATCCCGACACAAGCACTTTTACTAACAAACATATACATTTCATTGTAATAAAAAATGTCTGCACCCCATATATATATATATATATATATATATATATATATATATATATATATATATATATATATATATATATATAATATATATAAAAAACGTCAACTAGTTTCTGCCATCAGTTGGGAGAAGGTTTATTCCACTCATCCATGCAAAACTACAGGGTGTCCATAAAGTTCGTGTGTCCTTTAAAAAAAATTATAAGTTTATTTCTATTTGCGATAGAAATAATTTGTAAAAAGGATTAGAGAAAAGTCATTCTATAGTTTTTAAGGTTGTATTGAAATTTTGTTTAAGTTTGTACATGTCTTCCATCATTAGCAATACAAAGTGTAATACGATTTTGAAGTTCACGGAAAACATTTGCCAACTGATTTACAGTAATGCCTGAAATCAAATTAGTTATTTTAGCTATACTTAAAACTAGGTACATTAAACTTTATAACATTTTTTACAGATTATTTCTATCGCAAATACGAATAAAGTTATAATTTTTTAAAGTGCACACGAACTTTATGGACACCCTATATTTCAGCTGAATGATAATTGATGACTGTCTTGCATGCAAAGCTCGTTTCTATTCACTCTACAGCATCGCATCTAAAGTTTTAAAAACTCTTGACGTCTCTGTTTTGAGAGATTTTTGAATCTGTGATGGCCAGGCACTGCTGCAGCAAATGACCCCCGATCTTCGACGGGTCAACGCCATATCTTACAGTTGGTATGAGGTACACCTGCTCAAATGACGTCTTTCTTTATAGCCAATTATGCTTTATGTTACTGTACCCAAAGCATTATATTTTGGAGCGATGAATTTAAAATATAATGCAGAATTCCTGGTCTTACGCACACTGTCCTCAGATAAATTTTAATTTTGCTCTGATGTTATTTATTTTTTTAAGTTAGGGAGACATACTTTTACACCTGATCTTTTTTTCTAATAGTATATGAATGTATTTAGACATGAAATGTTCCAAGATCTTCTGGAGGTACCCTGATGGCATTTTGGGATTTTCGAAGAATTTGTTAAGAATATCTACATTATCACTTGGGTTATGCTCTATAAACGGCTGATCTGAACATATTGACTGTTGTCTTCAACTTAGTTCTGGGTGTAACAACAAAATTCTCCAAATTGTGTAACAGCAAAATTAAGCAATTGTTAGCTTAAGATCTGAACAGTAGTACCTTAGAAATGATTAAAGATATATTACTGGAATTCTCCGAGGTTTTTATAACACAACTTCACTCTACGTTGAACAATAAGAATGTATAATTACACTCTAAGCTTAACAGAAGAATCGTGATGAAACCGATCATAAAAAAAATGGCATGTTCATCATTAATTAATAAAGATCAAAAGCTGATGAAATATTGAAATAAATATTCATATATATATATATATATATATATATATATATATATATATATATATATATTGTTCCAGGACGATTTTTCAACTATTCCAGATGATCTTCGCCTCTCTAACCTTTTTAATTCTAACATCTCTCTTGGAGTAACAAGATACCTCACAGGTTACCGTACGATTTCATTTTGAAGCCATTTTCACTGTTGTTTGGACTGTCGTGGAGGAAACTCCTCTCTCAGAAGCCAAACGCTTTATGGATTGAGTTGTATCTTTTCTAATTGATCTCTTTAGCTCCAACTTGAAATGCTGATCTCTTTTCATGCTGTGACCTCCTGATGTAGTTTTTGTTTCTACTTTTCCCTCTATTTATTCACCCTTCTCTTGGTTCTTCTTGAATGGATGTTGAAGTTAGAAGCCAGAATATGAATGTTGGTATGTTATTGAAGGCGTTAATGATGTTTTTCCTCTCACTATTGCTCATTTTGGAAGACAGTGTGACTGACACAAAACTGTTTTATCCCATTCTCTTTCTAGATTAAAAAGAAAATATGGATTTGTCAGTGATTCTCACGACAAATGATGTCAAGAGGGTTAAACGTATTACCTGAAAACCTGGAAAAATCAATTAGTTTAGAGATTTTTTGTTATATTAAACATTTTTGGAGAATTATGCTGTTACACGATTTGGAAAATTTTGCTGTTAAAACCGGTATATAAAATAAAATGTAAATTTAATTCCCGGACACCGTATGTCGTAGACGCTATCCACTTATCAGTAGTTTGATGGATAAACTTAATTTATTAACAAATATAAAATATTGCTTAAAACTCATTGGGTAATGTCAATAGTTATTTTCAAGCGAAACGCAACCTTGTTTCTTCTTCTTCTTCTTCTTCTAATTATTATTATTATTATTATTATTATTATTATTATTATTATTTCCTTTGATTTCTGGTGTGTACACATTCCATTCCGGGTCCCGCCCAGAGACCTAAGGTTAGAAATGCCATTATGATATTTTCCACTGACACAAAAAGAGAAAAAAAAATTCATAGATAAAGCCCTTCGTAAGGTGTGGGCTGTACTACTGAGAACATTTTTTTGTATTTCTTTAAGGATTATTATTATTATTATTATTATTGTTGTTGTTGTTGGTGGTGGTAGTGTTGTTGTTTCTATCATTATTAATATTATTATTATACTATAATATAATTTTAATTGTGCATATCACGCGCTTCGTTAGTTGGCACGACCGTTATGCCCTGCCAATACCTAATGAATGAACTATTCCGTTTTGATCGAGTGGAAAGAGGGGAAAGGAAACTACTTGGTTTCAGTTGAGAAAATGAAAGAAAGAAAAAGAGGGACGCTCGATTTGTTTAACGGTTGTTTTAGTGAAATAGAAAAAAGTTGTCAATTTCAAATCTTTTCATTTCCATCTACTTCAACATTCATATTGCAATATTTTACTAAAGTTGTTATGGTCAAATATTGAATGATGTAACAGGGGAATTTTATAGTCTTAGATTTTGGCATGAGATTTCACAAACATTAACTTAAGAGATAAGATTCGTCATAAAATGAGAATAGGAAAATAGCGATTTTTTTTACCACTTAAAACTAGTTTTTATTATTGTTACTATTAATTTTAGTTTTTATTATTTATCATATTTTTACTTGATTAACATTCAACATTGAAGACTGAAAATTAATAGAAATATTATTTTCCATTTTGAAATGGAATTAATAAGCTTGTCGTGAGTTTGGGTAATACCCCCTAATATTTTATGATGCAATTTAATTATTTTTAATAATGATGAATAATCATTCAATTTCTCGCTTAAATTTTGACGACAACCAAAATTTTGAAATCTCTGTTCCATTGAAAGCTTGGCAAATACATCGTCGATTTAGTTTAAGACGACAAATTAATTGTTTTTGACAAGGAATGACAGGTTAATGCTCATTTTTTTAATAAATTTCGTAGGACACAATTTAAAGTCGTAATAGTTAATTACTGTAAAGTAGATATTGTAGCCAATGTGTTTCCAAACAACATTAAATAAACGTCACTAAATATCCGTAGTTAACAAAAATGAAAAGACCATTTTCAAGAAAAAAAGAAGAGACAAAGAATTTAACATTAGAAACACGAGCTTTTATCTAAAAGGTATTGGGACTGGTACTATAAAATAAAACTACAACACATATCAATTCGGAATTTAATCTCCTTCGAAGCAGCCCTCTTCTAAAGCCATACATTTCATTCAGCGTTATTTCCATTGATGGAAGCTTTCCTGGAACTCTTTTTTTTAGATAGCGAGCAGTTTCTCGGCTGCATTCTCTTATAGAGATACGTCTTGAAATCTTTTTTTCTTTCAAGTGGAATTTGATTTTCGGAAAGAGGAAAAAGTCGCAAGAGGCGAGATCTTGGGAATAAGGTGGTTGTGGAAACTGAAAAATAATGTCCTTTGCCAAAAACAGCTTGACAAGTTATGGTCATTGATGGATTCTCTGTGGTCTGCTGAGACGACCACACTCTATACACTTTCCTTCCAAGTAATTCTATAAACAACGAAACTGAGCGAGAACGTTATAAATTAGTGTGCATTCTCGACAGAGCTCAAAATCAATGTTCCACATAAGGATCTCTGGCTGT